ATCGCCTCCTGAATACTAAAATGATCAGCAATTTCATTTTCTATCGCTATTATTGACAAATTACTAAGACATTCTTGAGACATTGATGTTCTCAGGTAATTTTTAATTATTTTTAGTTTTGTAAAACTTCTTTCTCCACATGCAACAGATACTGGAACTGTCAGTAAAAGTTTTAAACTTTAGGAAAGACGTTTCCAAGCTGTATTTATATAAAAATTTAATTAATTCTTGAGGGTCTTTCCTTTCTTTTATAAGAATTTTTTAAAGAAACCAATTCATCGAAAAGTTCTATGCCACTGATATCGCAGGATTCATCGCCATCTTTAAATTTGTTTTGTAAATCGAAACAATTTTGTTTTATTTCGTTGAGTTCCATATCAATAAATTTATAAAGAAACCCAAAAGAGTTTTCAAAGTTTGATAGTGTTTAGAAACGGGTCGTCAATGATGAAACTGCCGTATCAATTATGATATAGTAAAAATTAATTTTAAAGTTTTCTTTTGGTGTCAATAGAATGTCTTTGTCTCCTTCATAGCTGAATAGTTTTCGGTGGCGTCGGCGGCTTACACTAATTTCAGCAGGAAAATCTGGTACTGCTTCTAATACTTCACAAAGTTTATTAGCCATTTGCAAATAATTTTCAAAACTCTCATTATTTCTTATGCTTTCAAAAAATTTCAATACCCATCTTTTATTGATTGGGCGAACTAATGTTCCAAGAAACTTTCTGCATTATTTTACTAATGAAGTCCACCTTTTCCAAAACTTCATGCCATATTATTATTGAACATATGAATTTATAAGATTTAATTTTCATTGCCAAACATTCAGCTTCATGTCGAACTGCTGGCGTAAGAGATTTTTCGACTATTTCTATGAGGCTATCATAAATTTCACCTAATTTGTGGCGCAGTGGTCTAATTGCTTTAGTTTTTGCTTCCCACCGAGTTTCACAAACTTGTTTTAATGTTAATGTTTTTATAGAGTTTTTTAGTATTTGCCACCTAAATGGTGAACCGCTGAAAAAATTGTAAATAGCTGATATGTTACTAAAAAATCTACAGTTGAAAAAATGAAACTTTAGCTGCATCATTAATGGCCAAATTTAACCCTTTCGACTCGGATGCCGCCGCTCCGGCGGCATAGTCATTTTACCGTTGCGCTCGGATGCCGCCGCTCCGGTTTTTGACTATACAAGATCCTGCAAATTGTGCAATACGATAAGTTCGTATTTTTATATTAGAAACGAAAATACTTGATCGATATTTACTGGTGACATTTCAATGTTTGTAATATACTCATATTAGAATTCATATTTTATTCAGGTATGCTTTTGATGTCGTTACTTGTTCTGCTCTAGTGTAATATTTTATTTTTAACGCCTAAACTATTTATACATTTTAGAAATGTTAATGTTTTTTACATACACGTGCAGCACTTTTCTTCCAACTTTATGTGCTTTCGCTTTTGGCTTTACTATTTACATATAGCAATTTGTGTATGGAATAAGAAAGCTTCAGTGTTTTCAAAATAATTAAACGTTTCGGATAAACGGTTTGTCTCCTTCCTCAATAATTGCTTCGTAAATTTTTCATATATAATTGTCAGCAACCAAATAATTTAAGAACTTTGGTACGAGCGGAATGCCCTAGACAGCCGGGCGTTGCATTTAGTGGACGGCCTTAATATGAACGAACGTTGCATGCAACTTTACTCAGAGAATTCTGAGCAAGAGGTAAATTTAAATTCTGTAGCCTTGATTAACCGGCAGAACCAGGACTATATTTTGTAACCTAGTGAGTACTTCTTGTAGCATTTTCTTGATTTCAGATCGCAGTAGCTCTGTCCTGTGCGGCGACATCCTTTATGGAGGTGTAATTACAGGGAGTTGCGATCTAGTTTTTATATGATGTTTTAGCACTTTGTATGACTCGCCTCTCTCTTTGAAAAGTTTTCCATGTGTGTCGGTCAATTCGCTAAATCTCCTCTCCTGGTCTTCGTCTAGCGATTTTTGCTTCGAGGGTACACATGGGATTAAAATACTTTTTCTCTAAGTATTCTGTGAATCGTAAGTCGAATTCATTATTCTGGTTTCGATAAACCCTCGTTCCTCAGACAGTCTTTTGTTTGAATCTCCAGTTGAATTAATTTTAATCGCAGTTGTTTGGTAACAAAATCCGAGCAATTTGTGAATAATCATTTAGAACATTATTTACTTCCGTTAGTGGTACGTTCAAAGAGGTGCTCATTGAGTTCCCCGAGGGGAGACTCATGAGTTAAGCAAATAATTTTACCAATCACTAATAATCACGACTTATTAACACAATAACAATCACAAGAACTATTTAATATAATAGGGTCGTGCCTGGGTATAAGGCCGCCTGCGAGCCAGCAAATATAGCCGCCCCTGTGAAAAAATATATATATATTTATAAATATACATGCGCAGTTCTCAGAATGAAAATTATATATAATTTAAATATAACATTACAATTAAAATAATACTAATAATTAATAGTTTAAGTAACATCATTTAAAGTTTACTCGGCGCGATGTTTTTGAAGCAAAGTCTTCAATCGCCTCCTGAATACTAAAATGATCAGCAATTTCATTTTCTATCGCTATTATTGACAAATTACTAAGACATTCTTGAGACATTGATGTTCTCAGGTAATTTTTAATTATTTTTAGTTTTGTAAAACTTCTTTCTCCACATGCAACAGATACTGGAACTGTCAGTAAAAGTTTTAAACTTTAGGAAAGACGTTTCCAAGCTGTATTTATATAAAAATTTAATTAATTCTTGAGGGTCTTTCCTTTCTTTTATAAGAATTTTTAAAGAAACCAATTCATCGAAAAGTTCTATGCCACTGATATCGCAGGATTCATCGCCATCTTTAAATTTGTTTTGTAAATCGAAACAATTTTGTTTTATTTCGTTGAGTTCCATATCAATAAATTTATAAAGAAACCCAAAAGAGTTTTCAAAGTTTGATAGTGTTTAGAAACGGGTCGTCAATGATGAAACTGCCGTATCAATTATGATATAGTAAAAAGTAATTTTAAAGTTTTCTTTTGGTGTCAATAGAATGTCTTTGTCTCCTTCATAGCTGAATAGTTTTCGGTGGCGTCGGCGGCTTACACTAATTTCAGCAGGAAAATCTGGTACTGCTTCTAATACTTCACAAAGTTTATTAGCCATTTGCAAATAATTTTCAAAACTCTCATTATTTCTTATGCTTTCAAAAAATTTCAATACCCATCTTTTATTGATTGGGCGAACTAATGTTCCAAGAAACTTTCTGCATTATTTTACTAATGAAGTCCACCTTTTCCAAAACTTCATGCCATATTATTATTGAACATATGAATTTATAAGATTTAATTTTCATTGCCAAACATTCAGCTTCATGTCGAACTGCTGGCGTAAGAGATTTTTCGACTATTTCTATGAGGCTATCATAAATTTCACCTAATTTGTGGCGCAGTGGTCTAATTGCTTTAGTTTTTGCTTCCCACCGAGTTTCACAAACTTGTTTTAATGTTAATGTTTTTATAGAGTTTTTTAGTATTTGCCACCTAAATGGTGAACCGCTGAAAAAATTGTAAATAGCTGATATGTTACTAAAAAATCTACAGTTGAAAAAATGAAACTTTAGCTGCAACATTAATGGCCAAATTTAACCCTTCCGACTCGGATGCCGCCGCTCCGGCGGCATATCGTGTCGGCGACGACTCGTCGCAAACTAAACTTACATTTAATTTTTTTTTATATTTTGAAAATTAATTTACTATTACATTCATTTATTGATTGATTTATCAATTTTATAAATAAATATATAACAAAATTAATTTATTAGCTCATGATCTCCATAATTCTAATAAAGATCTGTGAAGAAATGATTTTTTAAACAATATAGGGTGCAATTTTTTTTAATTTTCAAAATTTTCTATTTTATTATCATAATAACTATATTTAAAAGCAATATAACCACATTTTGAAAAAAATCCGATACAAAAAAATACCGAGTTGAGAGATAAGTATAGCACTATAATATTCCGAGCGCAGCGTACCGACTGGCAGTCCGACTCCCGAGTCGAAAGTGTTAAAATATGCGCGTTGCATGGCATAAATAAAACTCGTGGGTAACTGTCAAGAATTTGTTTTTGCAGCCCAATATGTTTTCCGGACATCGTATCCCTGGCCCCTCATGTAATTAATATTTAATCCTAGATGATTTAGCTTTTCAATTAAGAAGTTATATAAATAATCTGCAGTGGCTTTTTCTGATTGATAAAAACCAATAAAATTTTCTCGTATTTCAACTCATCATTTTCAATATGTACATACCTGAAAACTAATGTGATTTGCTCGACATGCCCAGCATCCGGGATACAGTCTAAAATCACAGAAAAATATTTTGCCTCTTTTATAGATTTTAGTATATGATTTTGAATTTGGGTCGCAAGTATAGAAATTATTTCATTTTGAAATCGATTTCCCAGGTAATGTGGCATGTGGATTTTTAAAGCGATTGATTTTTGTGCTCGCTTTATGTGATCTGCCATTATATCATCGAATTTTCCTATCATTTCGATGGCCTTCAAAAAGTTACCATTATTTTTTTCGTACAATTTGTTCGAAGATCTTCTAAAAGCTACACTGTCCAGCTAAAAATTGCACCACAGATATCGTTTGCGTGGCAATTTGACACCATCGTTTTTCCTCAGCATTATAATAGCGTTGCATATCCTTATCAATTGTGGTTTTCCTTTTTAAATTTAACTCCAATTCTTTCCACGAGCTGCAGTTTTGGATATGTTGAGATGTTTTTTCGTGGCGAGGTAGTATTTCTGATGTGTGTTGCCAATCGTTGAAGCCTTCGTTCACTAATTTCATTTCTTGTTTGCTAAATAATTTACAACAAAAGCAATATATGATGTCATTTTTCGGTGAATAGATTAACCACTCACGATTGAACTTTTGACCATTAGACATTTATCGATAAAAATAAACATTTGAAAACGATCTTCCTGACTGATTTTCTGCATATGCTGATTGTACATTTTGAACAGGGCCCTTTTCGATTAAAATATCTAGCACTTTATTGGTAAGTGCCAAAGGCCAGGTTGCTGGATCATTCAGTTCCATACACATCGCAGAATAAGCTTCATCAATTTCATTAATATCGTCGATACTTGCTACTGCTATATCTTTAATTTCATCATTGCTATCAATATTGTCATCAACATTTGCGCCAACGGTAGATAATTTATTTTCAGTTTTATTTAAATCACTAATTGAACTTGTTTGACTACTGCAAGTATTTTCCGTTTCTGAAGATTTCTCCAAAAATTTTTTTAGTGAACCAAACATTTTGTTGGATTAATTTTGTTTTTTCCTCCCGCTTTCTCTTATATAGGGCTCCAGACAATCTTATAGCTTTTCTATCAGACATTCTTAAGCTTTTTACCAAAATGTTAAAAATATCAAAAATAATTTATATTCAAATTAGTAATACATTTTTCTTATTATTATTAATAAATATGACAAAATTTGTAGCATGGAACAAAAATTTTACTTACCCTGGTAAACAAAATTTTCCTTTATTACTTAAACTTTAACTATTACACGCTCAAAACACTTAATTAATTAAAACACACTGAATAACTTAACGCTTACGCACGAACTAATCGCCCTTTTTATGCGTATGGCTGTTTTTAACCAAAATTATTGTTTATATAATATTCGATAAAGTGCTTGAAGACTCTTGGAAATGTTAAGATTATGATAAGAAAGGATGAATTCATAATTGTATATATTATAAAATAAACTTTAAAGCCTCTTAAAATTGTAAACGAACATCTGAACATCTCGAATTACCGCCAAGAGATTTGTTGTTATATGCTTATGTTAGTTTTAACGTAAATCAATCAATGATTGCCAGTGTTTTATTTGTGGTCAGGTACGGAACCAACTAGTCTGTTTTTAAATTTCAAAGCATATATTGTTTAACATGGTTTTATATCAAACTGTTAAGTATAAATCTCATGTGTGAAAACAAATTCTGCTCAATTTGTGAAAATTGAAATCCTGCATAATTTTCATTTGTGAGTCTTATAGTAGATATTAATTCCAAAGCTGATAATGTGAGAGCACCTTTTAAATAGTGCAATTTCTGGACTGGCGCTAATTTTGAATTATTATGTATCAATGAATTAAAAATGTCTATAAAAGCCGTCCACTCACTATACTCCCCATTAAATTTTGGTAACACAATGTCTGACAATTTCACATCTATCACGCTACTTGTTAATTTTTAGGATTTTTGATGGGAGTCAATAATTGATTTTATCTCAGCCATCATATCAAAGTATAATTCAGAGTACTTAAGGTACTCATCAGTGTACACGCCTGGAGACATGCTTTCAAGCTGCACGTACACCTCATCCCAGTTGTGGATACGTTCAACTAGCTTCTGCTTCCTAACAGAGAGACCCTTTACGTTGTCGCCCTCCTGTAACATATTTGTTGATGGCATTGAATGAGGATTTAATCATTTTATAGGTGCCTTCCAATGAATCCGCATCCGCCATTATACGAGCCAGTTATACTATACTAAATTAATATTATTACTACAAGTGCTACACAATGTACAAAGAAAATGAAGAGTTCTTAACACATATTACTCAGTCAACTAATACGGGAACAAAGTCAACAAACACACTTATATGAAATGTGTAACAATAGTGAGGTTACTGCAATGCATAGAATTATGAATGACTCACGACCCCCGTGTTTTGAAATACACGAGTCAGCGATGATCCTAATTTTTGTCTTCCACGTGGGATCCTAGTAACACGATATACTCCCCAACTTGTGTAGAAGCTTGTCGATTATCACTTAATCATCGAGTTGTATGAAATTAGTGATTGAATGAATACCTTTTTCTTGCGCTGCGAACTGAATCCTAACCTCAAAAATTTGGAACTCCCAAATCTTTAAGTGACGACGATGATTTCAGCGTCCGAACTGCTAGCTTGATTAAGGAGATTCTTGTTGCTCTGCTTTTTGTTTACGAACGACATAGACAATTTCAATGCCGCATGCGTAAACAAAACAATACACGCCGGTGATAATACTTGTATATAAAAAACTTTCCTCACCACAGTGTATAATAATTCTCAAAAATAAAGCTTGCACTGATGAATATCCGTGAGAAAGACCAAATTATGGTATAATGAAGTACTGGATGGGTTATGAGTTAATGTATTTGACACGATGTTTACTCCTCGGCGGTATATGTACAAGAGAGAGATTACAATCTTTGCAACTATTGCGGAAAGTCATGTCAAAACGTGAACATTACGTTTTGCATGACATGGCGCCAACATAACAATAACGCGTCGTTCTGATAGTACAAACGACGCGCGCGAAGCTTGAATTCACATGTGGGAGTTGTAATGATAATATATTAAATTAGAAACTCCCAACATAAAAAATATATCAAATTTATTGACTATAAAAATATTACGATATCAAAAAATATACATGACAAGTCCCATTGTTTTTTTTACAAATCAAAACCAGTCTGCTTGATATCCCCATACACTCCCTGCCCAGTGTTGATCTCACAGTTTAAAAAGAAAATACAGGGAAACACGTTATAAAAATGTGGTGGGAAAGCAGATTATAGCAGACCAGTGTTGTAATACTGGTCAATTACAAATTTTCATGTTTCGACAGCAGATCCACCGTATGTGGTGATTCGACCTGCCATCAACTCCATATTCTGCATAAGATTCTGACTGAAAAAAAACATGTGGAAAATTTCCTGTACCTCGATGTCGGTAAACTTCTAAAATTCAGCCTCGATCTAATTGGTATTAGTTATATCAGAATTACTTAATGTTTAGAATGCATAATTTATGGGTACAGTTTCCATTTATGCAAGCGTTGCATTCGTATCTGATGAGTTCCGATCAGAGAAAGAAGTTGGCTCTTTATCCAAATCAGGATCATTGGTTTCTTTGACATAAGAGTCCAGAATTGTGGAATCCAATAAATTATGTCAAATTTTGTTTTGACTCGTCGTTGTCACCGATATTGGGAGGTAGCATTATAAGACGATTTGTTGAGTTAACAGAGAAAGAGAGATTTAATTGCATTCCAATGAAAAGTTCAGGCTCCAAATTATTTTTTCTGTCAGCAATAAATACTGAGGTCTGGGTATACCAAATGAGTAACCTCGGAAGTCTGATCCAGATAGTAAGTGCGTTAACTATGATGGATTGGACTGGACGTACCTTATAGGTCGTCTCTGAAGACCAGTGATTATGGTGCTGCGTCAAAATCAATTTTTAAAAACAAAACTCCTTTTTTTTTCTTCGTCTCCATCGTCGTGAGTCACCAATGTGGGAGTCGTCATGATTATGATAATATATTAAATTAGAAACTCCCAACATAAAAAGATATCGAATTTATTGACTATAAAAATATTACGATATCAAAAAATATACATGACAAGTCCCATTGTTTTTTTACAAATCAAAACCAGCCTGCTTGATATCCCCACACACAGTTAGAACTATGAATAATTCTGTCCACTTATCAATAATCTATTTACTTCGTCAGGATATTATATTTATATTTACATGAGATGTTCATTCTTCGACGGCAAAATTAGAAAAGGGATTAATCCTGAGCATTTACGTACTAAGTGTAGCAATTCCCGCGCTCAAAAGTGCAAGAACTAGGCGACCATAGAGTTATTCTCGGTCGAACATTCAAAATGCCGCTAACATTCGGCCATCCTAAACTTCACTCGTCCCCGAGTAAATAGTTTCTAAAACGCGCTGGTCTATGTCTCTGACGTTGTGGGCGACTCCTGGAATCTTCCTGTCGGCATCGGCTCCAACGATGTCCTCTTCTTCATTTGCGGCAGGTTCCCACAGCTTCAGTTGAGATACATGAGCTGTAGTACGGTATCTTCTTCCAGTTGCATCTTCCTGCATGTTGATGATGCCGTAAGTGTCTCCTGGTAGTATTCTGTAGATCACCATTGATCCTCTGCAACTTCACGGAATCGCCCGTTAGGATTGGCGCTGTTTTGCCGTACACCATGTCGCCTATGTTCAAATGCACGTTTCGATGAGCATGTTTGTCATATCTCTCTTTGAATTTCGCCTGTGTCATCTCAATTTTCTCGAGAGCATCTTTTTGGAGTATCACTGGTTCTATATAGCGCTCTTCTCGTTCAGTCAGCTTCCGTAGTGGTCCATAATCCCTCCCTGGTATGTATCCATACAGCAGCTCAAAGGGGGTCCGTCCCGTACTCTTGTTGAATGATGAGTTCAAGTCCCACGCTACTGTCTTCTGCTTCCTGTCCCAATCCTTGCCGGTCTCGTCCTCCAGTGTCGCCTGATTCACGAGTAGTTCAGCGTGTGTCGAATTCCATGTCTCGTGCAGAAGTCCTGGAATCCCTTAGTTGTGAAGCAGGTTCCTCGATCCGTAATCAACCTCATTGGGGCTCCATATGTCAGCACAAAGTCTTCCATCTTCCTGATCGCAGTTTCGCGCTGATGTATCCCGACACGGCTTCAACCTAACAAATTTAGTCAAATTTCAAATTAGAACAAGTATATATTTGTTCTGTTTGCCACTCTTGACAAAAGGTCCCAAATGTTCTACATGAACTATTGCAAACGGTCTCTCGCCTGGTGTTATTGGGTGCAGCTCTCCTGCCTTCTTACCAATTTGGGCCTTTGTCAATCAGGCAGTGCACGCTTTAATATGTTGTCTAATATATCAACGCATTCCTGGAAAAAATTAAAACCGTTGCATCTGATGCAACGTACGATCCAATCCAAAGTGTCCGCCATAATCATGGAATCTGATTGCCATCACCTTCCTGACAGTTTTGGGTATCACGTACTTCTCTCCATCACCTGTGGATTTGTACACTATACTTGACCTTACCAGATATCCCTCAACCTCCGACTTTTAGTGTGGACTTCTCTCAACACTCCGTTTGGATAAAACCTCTATTTTTCTCTTTAATAATGGATCGTGGTGTTACACTAACGTGATGATACACTAACACCTCGTCCTCTTGGGTTGTCATGCTAAAGATGGTAACCACATCCTCCAGCTGGTCCATAGCAGAAGCTTCTTCTGTTGGAGCCCTGCTCAATGCATCCCATGCTGTTTTCTCACGTGTCAATGTGCTAAACTTGACAAAAGTGTGTTATTCTTACAATCTAAGTTGGCTAGAACTACTGATGACACAATGATGATATGCTAACATTGTGATAGCTATTACACTGTCACTAAGCTAAGTCTGCGTATATTCTTACAATCTGAGGATTTTTCGTCTT